CGGCGAACTGTAGGGAGAAGATTCCCCCAGGCAGGGTTTCCCATCGCGCACCAGCACCGGCACCGCTATCCGCCGCGGGGGAGGGATCCCCACCATTTCCAGGGTCTGATCCTGTCTCTGCCTTTTGCATTTATACCTTCGATTCTGGAACCAAATTTTCACCTGGGTGGAGGTGAGCTTTAGGACGTTCGCTAGATGGTCTCTCTCGGGAGCCGAGAGGTATTTCTGCTGCTTGAACCTTCTCTCCAGTTCGTAGACTTGGGCTTGAGAAAAGAGGACGCGAGGTTTCCTTCTTTTCCTCTGTCTGGGGCGCTCGGGATCTTCCAGGTCTCTTTTCTCCTGCTCCAGGCCCTTGTGCAGGGAACACAGTTCTGCAGCAAAATAAACGGGCGAAGGAAAAAGGGGAGGAAAAAAAATGTGCAAAAAATAATAAAACAATGTTCAATAAACAGCATGCACCGTGAGCGAGCCCGGACTCTTGCCCCACTCATTGTTCTCCACCTCTAACCATCTTCAGCTCCTGCATCCCACAGCCAGGAGCTGCTTATCTTGCTCCCTCCTTCCTCCCATTCAAGCCCAACCAGTGTCCTTGACCAGATTGCCTTGCAGCATGCTCTGGCCGTGCTGGCAAGGCTGGAAGTACCTCTTTAGCAAATTTCCCGTCTATTTTGTTTGTTTGAAAACAAGGATGCTCTGTGCACTGATCTGAGCCGCGATCGCGCTGTGCCTCAGCCTGGATTTAACGCATGTAGCCTTGTACCGAATCCCACCCGACCCACGGGCGTACACTCGAATTAGAAACCGGATTTGTCACCTAATTTCTGTACAAACTCCAGGCTTGGCGTATCATCCTGCAGCTCTGCTCCGGCCCCGCTCGAGGGTCTCCGGGCCGGGGTCAGCAGGACGTTCCCCACGTGGGTCTATCCCGTTCCTGCACCGCAGGGCCCCGGAGGGGATGAAGATGCTGCTGCTCCCCGCACTCCTCCTCCCCCGGGCCCCGAGGCCGAGCGCACCCCGCACTGTCCCCTCTCCCCCGCAGCCCCGGCTGGGGGTCGCCTTCCCCCTGCCCTCCTTTTTTCTCCGCCCGGAGGCCACCGGCGAGCGGTTCGCGTTAACCTTCTTCT